CGCGACTTACTGTATAACTATGACCGCCAATGACTGGCTCTGCCAGTTTCAGCGGGCAGAAAAAAGTAATTTGTCTGTGCAAGTGCATTAGCCCATTTCTGCTTCTTCTGAGGTTTAATGAGCTTGCGATTTCACCCAGAACAACTTTAAACTATTTCAAGGAAATCTATTTAAATGTGTTTTTAAAGGGGAAGTGCATCTTCTTAGCCTTAATCTGTTGGGGAAGCTTTAAAAATAATGTTTAAATTCATCAATGTGATTGTTCATTGAAATAGATCAGTCAAGACAAGATGCTGTTTGTGTTTTATTTCAGAACACAATATAGTACACTTAGTAAATAAGAAAATGACATGAATATATCTAATTCAAGAAAGACATATTTAGCACACAACCCATCCTGACCGAAATAAACTACAACAATGACTATTTACACTGTAAGAGTTCTTGAGTGGTAAAGCTTCAAATCTAAAGTCTATCTAGTTTTGCTCACTTACAAAAAATTTTCATGCGAGCGAGAAGGTTTGAAAAATGTTTAAAAGTCTCTCCACACTGATACAGTGGAGAAAGATTAAGTGCCCTATCTTACACCTAGCGCAATGCAGCGCCAAGCCCAACGCAAGTGTTTTTTGCTAGTTTCAGCCCGACGCAGTTACCATTTTTACGTCCTGCGCCACGTTGTTTAAATAGCAAATGCATTTGCGCCCATTTGTGCACCCATTGGCTGCTGGTCTGAAAACGAGGTGTGTTCAGGCACATTGTTGGCGCGTTGCTATTTTGAGGCAACAGAAATAGACTGTGCCATTGACCAACTGAAACCTGGTCTAAAGTTAAAAACAATTGTTTTGTAATTTAAAGAGCGCGTTAGTAATGTGCGCCTATAGGCGGGTCCATAACGTGCGTACACTGTGCTTATTACACACACAGTGACGCGCAACAGCACACAAACATGCCAAATATTTAAAATAAAAGGATTACAAAGTAAAAGATTATTATTGTGTACATAAAGATATGGTGGAATCCAGCTTGTCCCGTAGATGGTCTTCTTGCGCACTTTTACCTCGCACACGAGCAGTTCAGTTTGCGCTCTGGGGACGCGTTCAGTCTTTCCACTATCAAATTCCGTCATGTAAATAGCAAATCTGCCATGGTGTGAGAGTAACTGGCATTTAAAGGGAATGGGAGATGAGATTATTTTAACGCACGTAAATCCCAAAACACACCCATTACTCATTAAGAGAATAGGGAAAACCCTTAGACCATGCGCCTGGAGCGCCGACCATTTTTCCCGTCGTTAAACTAGCAAAAGTGGATTCGGACACGCCCAAGTGAACTTGCGTCCTGCGTTTTAGACCATGCGCTTAGATCGTTTAAATAGGGCCCTAAAGGTGTTTGTTGTTAAAATGACAAAAAGGAAAAAGAAAAAAAAAGTTTTAGGTTGTTTAAATTTTTAGGCTGCTCTGCGTCAGTAGTCTAACAGTGTTCGTCAATGCCAAAATGTAGAGATGGCCAATCAAAAGTAGGCAGGTCTTACTGTCATAACACAACAAGGGTTTGTGGAAAGATGCAAGTAGATGTAAGAAGCCTATTAGACAACTGTTTTATGATAGAAATGTTCAACAACCGACAATAACAGGCTATCTAGTATCTATTTACAGCTCTCTGATTCCGAGGAATCAGATGTGCTCGGTGTTGGGGAGGGGGATCCTAATGAAAGACACGATACTGTTCAGCCTGCACCCAGTTATGATGAGTTGGTGGAGGTTTTAACGCGGGCTGTGGCCAAGCTTGATATTTCTTGGCCACAAGAGCGGCAGGAAGCGTGTACAAAAAGCAAGCTCGATGAGCGCTTCCTGCAGCACCGCACGTAACCTTCACGCCGGTCTCTCCCTTTCTTCCCGGATTTACACAATGAGAGTTGGCGCGCCTGTCTAACCCCCGATTTTAAATTATAGTAATATCGTGGGGGTTAGGGATAAGGGATATGGGATGATGCCTCGGGTTGAGGAAGCACTAGCTAGCTACCTTTCACCCGACCTTGCGTCATCCTTGAAGACACCGGCGTTGCCTTCTAAGCCTTGCCGCACCACATCAGCTTTGGTGGGCAGAGCTTATATGGCGGCGGGTCGCGCTGGTGCGAGCCTGCATACAATGGCTATTTTGCAGGCGTACCAAGCCGACCTGTTGAGGGACATGGACCAAGGCGAGGGTCCCTCGCCTGATGATATTGCAGAGCTTCGCAGAGCCACAGATTTGTCCCTCCGGGTTACCAAGGAGATGGCCCGTGCCATCGGTCGCTCCATGTCAGCTTTGGTAACCACGGAGGGACATCTGTGGCTCAACCTGTCTGGCATTAAGGAGAGGGACAGGGCCTTCCTGCTTGACGCACCTGTTTTAGCTTCTGGTCTGTTTGGGGAAGCTGTTAACACTGTAGTTGACAGGTTTCAGGATGCTAAGAAGCAGGACGAAGCATTTAAGCAGTATCTCCCTCGCTGTTCAAGGTCCAGGAGGGCGGCTGCTGGAGAACAGCCACAGCCGTCTTCCAGTTCCTCTCATCGCCAGGCACAGAAAGCGAGTGTCGCCTCTAGCGCTCCCCCTAATAAAGCTTGGGACTCTAGACGTCGCTCGTAGTCTCCAGAGAGGGCGGCTAAGGGAAAGAGGTCCTAACTTATATGAGACCTCAAAGGGCGGGCTGAGGAGCTTCTTGCCAGACCTCCATGGTCGCCATGTCCTCGTGAGAACCGACAACATGTCGGTGGTGTCTTATTTGAATCGCCAGGGGGGTCTGAAGTCGCGCCCTCTGTGCAGACGGGCGCATCAGATCCTTTAGTGGTCCCAGAAGAGACTATCGTCTCTCAGGGCGATGTATGTCTCGGGGGACCAGAATCAGGGAGCAGACGTACTGTCGAGGCAGGGGCTGAGGGCCGGGGCATGGTGGAGTTGATATACGAGAGGTTCGGCCCAGTGGACGTGGACCTTTTTGCTTCTCGAGAGATGACACACTGTCCACTGTGGTTCTCCCTCACGCATCCAGCCCCGCTGGGGTTGGATGCCATCGTGCAGACGTGGCCAAGGCTGCGTCTGTACGCTTTTCCCCGATCGCTCTGCTCCCAGCAGTTCTGGAAAGGGTCCGTCGAGACGAGGTCAGCCTGCTATTAGTAGCCCCGTTCTGGCCGGCCCGAGTATGGTTTTCGGACATCATCCTACTTCTGGCAGGCCCGCCATGGCAGATCCCTCTGAGGAGGGACCTGTTGTCTCAGGCGGAGGGCTCAGTTCTCCACCCTATGCCCGAGCTGTGGAAACTGTGGGTCTGGCCCCTGAGGGAAGCCGGCCTGTCAGCAGAAGTGGTTGAAACTATACTCACTTCCAGAGCTCCTTCCACAAGGAAGTTGTACGGCCTTAAGTGGAATGTTTTTTCCATTTCAGAGAGCGTGAATTGGATCCAGTTACCTGCCCAGTTGCTTCAGTACTGGAGTTTCTCCAAGACCGCTTTTCTGCTGGGCTTACCTCGTCCACACTCAAGGTTTATGTGGCTGCCATTGCGGCTTTCCACGCTCCTCTGAGTGATGGTCCTCTGGGGAGGCATCACCTGGTCGTACGTTTCCTCCGTGGAGCCTGGAGGATGAGACCTGCGACTCGCACCAGGGTTCCCTCTTGGGACCTGGCAGTGGTTCTCGAAGGGCTGGTCGAGGCCCCCTTCGAACCACTGGAGTTGGCTGAGGCCAAGAACCTTTCGTTTAAGGTGGTCTTTTTGTTGGCCATTACTTCTCTGAGGAGGGTAGGAGATCTCCAGGCGCTCTCTATTTCCCCTGGGTGCTTGGAGTTTGCTCCAGGCAACATTAAGGCCATCTTACATCCCAGGCCCGGATATTTGCCCAAGGTGCCATCTAATATGGCACTACCTATGGTTCTGCAGGCATTTCATCCTCCGCCTCATGTAACGACGGATGAGGAGAGACTTCATCTGCTCTGCCCTGTCGGAGCACTGCAGTGTTATATCCAGAGGTCCTTCTCATGGCGGAAGTCGGACCAGTTGCTGGTGTGTTTTCGGTCGCCCAAGAAGGGGCTTCCTGCCTCTAAGCAGATCATCAGCAACTGGATCGTTCAGACTATTTCCCTGGCCTATCAGGTGCGCAATTTGCCTTCACCTATGGCCGCGAGGGCTCACTCCACCAGAGGCATAGCATCCTCTAGAGCCCTCCTTTCAGGGGTTTCTATCCATGACATATGTGAGGCGGCTGGCTGGGCCACTCCGCACACATTCATGAGGTCTGGACCTTCCCTCTACACCCGGTGCACGAGTGCTTTCGTCCTAAATTGTGCCTGAAGACAGCTTCACACTAGGATGAGCAGGGTTCGTTGTGGTAAAGTGGGTATCTCGATCCCCTAGTGTTGTCACAGACGCAGTTCAAGTTCCCTCGAAAGGGAACGTCTCAGATTACGTATGTAACCCTTGTTCCCTGAGAAAGGGAACGAGACACTGCGTCGGTTCGCCACACCTCACCCTGCCTGGAGCACTTGCTTCATAGCAAAGAGCTGACTTTGCTTGTGCCGGCGTGCTTCTATACACAACGGCGTATGTCGTCACACGCTACGTCATCACGCAACGCCAATAGGATTGGATTCGATTTCATTCATGAATTCAGACGCGCTACGCTGAAGGGTGTTCCCCTAGTGTCGTCACCGACGCAGTGTCTCGTTCCCTTTCTCGGGGAACAAGGGTTACATACGTAACCCGAGACGATTTCTGGTCTTGGAGTCTCTACTAATGAGCTGATGAGTTGATTTAGGTGTTTGAATAGGAAGAGTTGGAAAATGTGTAGTGTTAGTGTGCCTCCAGGAACAGGGTTGGGAAACGCTGATCTAGCAATGCAAACTATTCAACTTTTTATTAATTTTTGCCGTTTTTAAAATGACAATATGCTATTGTGATTCATTTAATTAAAAAATGAATGTGACAAGACAAGAAACATTTGCGTTTTCGACTATAGGCATACGAATAAGCACAAAAGTGAAACTCCGTCTATGGTTTTTCTCCAGAATGAGTTCTTTGGTGTTGTTTCAGATAGTCAGCTCTAGTAAAGCTCTTCCCACAGTCACAACACACATGATCTCTCACTTCATTATGTGTTTTCTGGTGCCGTTTAAAACCTTTTAGCCATAAAAAACTCTTTCCACAGAGAGAACACACATAAGGCCTCTCATCTGAATGAACTTTCAGATGTGATTTTAGATGTGATGATGAAATAAAATCTTTACCACACTGATCACAGTTAAATGGCTTTTCTCCAGAGTGAATACGCAGATGATATTTGAGATCAGCTAAATATGTGAAACTCTTCTCACACTGAGTACAGTAGTATGGCTTCTCTCCAGTATGAACTCGCTCGTGTGATTTCAGGTGTGCAGACTGAGTGAAACTCTTGTCACAATATGAGCACTTGTAAGGTTTTTCTCCAGTATGAATTCTTTGGTGCTGTTTCAGTTCACCAGCTCTAGTAAAGCTCTTCCCACAGTCACAACACACATGATCTCTCACACCTGTATGTATTTTCTGATGCAGTTTAAAATCGTCCAGCCGTGAAAAACTCTTTCCACAGAGAGAACACAAAAAAGGCTTCTCATCTGAATGAACTTTCAGGTGTTGATTTAGATTTGATGACGAAATAAAATCTTTACCACACTGATCACAGTTAAATGGTTTCTCTCCAGTGTGAAGTCTTATGTGTACATTAAGGTTGTCCTTTTTACTGAAACTCTTTCCACACTGAGTGCATGGATACGGTTTCTCTCCCGTATGAATTCTTATGTGTGTTTTAAGGTTTCCTTTTCGTCTGAAACTTTTTCCACACTGAGGGCAGGTGTGCAGCTTATTAGCTTTGATGCTCTGCTGTTCCTCCTCTGCTTCATTCAGTTCATGTTTTTGCTTATTCACTTCCATCCAGTCTAAAATAAAAATATTATGTGGTTAAAATAAGTTCAATTTAACTCTGATTTAACAGAAGAGAGCAACAGAGTATCAAGTATCAGATCTTTGATGTGCCAAACTTTAGTTAATTAACTTTCTTGTTAATCCATTTAAAATGTAAATGACAACAGCTATTCAAGATTTTGACCATTTAGATGCATAATTTCTGTATCATTATTTATCATCCAATCTGCTGAACTAAAGCTTTTTTACCTTAATGTTTCTCAACAGTCAAGATCATGAAGAATCAAGAATGGACACCAACCTATTTGTTCCTCAGTATCTTCATGTTTTATTCTGGATGGTTCTGGATCACTCGTGTCTTCAATCTCCTCTTTAATAAACTCCATCTTTAACAGTCACACAGAGTTCAGCTGCTACTCCTGGAGTTTGTCCTTCTTTTGTAGGAGGATGGGAATATTCCTAGTATTTATTGGTGAATTGTTGTGGGAGGGGCTTCACTGCAGGTGTGAACTGTGATCACTGTGGACCAGATCTGGAAAAATCAAAAACAAGTTACTGAATTTATCCTTGATTACTTTAACAGCAAAACAAATATGGTGCCTTTAATTTAGTTCAAATATAGAGCATTTTGATGGTTATATATTATAGGGCCCTATTTTAACAATCTTAGCGCATGGTCTAAAGTGCAGGGCGCAAGTCTAAAATAGTTTAACGACGGGAAAATTGTCGGCGCACCCGGCGCATGGTCTAAAAGGGTTGTCCCTATTCTCTTATTGAGTAATGGGTGTGTTTTGGGCGAAAATGTGCAATAAACCAATCAGAGTCTCATCTCCCATTCCCTTTAAAAGCCAGTTGCGCTAACGGCTCATGGCGGATTCGGTTTTACATGACGGAATTTGCAAAAAGACTAAGACCCAGTCCAGAGCGCAAACGGATCTGGGAAAATGATAACTGCGTCGGGCTGAAACTAGCAAAAAACATTTGCGTCGCGCCTGGCGCTGCATTGTGCCAGGTGTATGATAGGGCCCATAGTGTATAAAACAGCACTAGGTTGCTCATTTTTATGTAACCCAGGATATTACAAGGATGAAACAGGACACAGGTTAAATTATTCAATTATTATCTAAACTAATCAGAAATCTAACAAGACGACAGAAATCCACTTAAAATGTACACTATGTAACGTTTGGCACTCTAGCTGTTAATAAACAGAACTGCATGCATCTTGCCGAAAAACTTTGTAGCCGGAGCTGCTTCTCTCGGTTTATGTCTATGACGAGCCACGCAGGAACTGGGCTACTCCGCAGCAGTTGCGTCCCACTTCATCTAAAATAGTCCGAATATAAACACTTATTACAGGCGTACTGTGTTGATTCAGGATAAGAGAAAAACACTGTTTGGAAGATGGATTCATGATGTACTCGCTCATTACATAAATTATGTAGGGGGGGTTCTTCTAAAAACTGTCAGAAATTTGTGATATTGTAACAGAACAATTTGTTTAGGTAGCAAAGTTGTTTTGAAACAACACCACTGTCTATGGTAACATCCTAAACTGTAAAATTATGATAAAAAAATACAATATGAACAGCTCAAATAATACCAGTTTTGACTAACAAAAACGTATAAAATTATAAACCTCACATTTAAGCCTAATAAATGATTATAAATGTGTTATATCAAAAACACCAGACAGACTTAAAGAAAATGCAAATTCTCTCTCTGACAGAAGGTGGTGCTTGTGGCAAAGCAGAAATACAGCGGTTACTCCTGAACACAAGCAGCGCTGCGCTTATAAACACTACTTTATTAGGCATCACTGAGGAAAGAAAAAACGGAGATGTCATCGAAACTTTTATGAAGACAGTCATTTCCCTTCAGATATATAAAAACTCCTCAGATCTGAACTAATCATGAATGGTCTATTTCAGTGTCAGAAAGTGAGTTTGCAGGTTTGGTTTCTGTTGCCTTTAATAGTATTTTTAGTCATGTACTTTAAGCTGAGGAGTAAAACATACATTAAAAACACATTGATAGGTGATTAACACACAAAGTGATGATCCTGTAGTTTGTCAGACTTGTCAGACTGTTAATTTGGTAATTGTAAATTACATGTTTTGTTAAAAAACAAACATTTTTTTTACAAAACATGTAACTTACAATTACCAAATTAACAGTCTAATTAAAGCAACACCAAGCAACTTTTCCTCTGCGGTCGCCCTACAGGTTGGAAGCAGAAATGTCCATTACTGCTGTCGTAAATAATTTGGCCTACCACAGCCTACTGCCGCACGCGCACACACATGCTCTCTGTTTATCTAGCACCGGCTTTGGATGACAAGGTAGAGTATGATCCATGATTTTATGAAAGTGTAGTTGTAGTCTACTGTCGAGTACGCTCCACCTATCGGCAATTGTAATGCTTGCCGTAAAGCAAGTCAAATTTGTAGTTTTCTTAGGTCTCATTCGCACTACAGAAACGCGACCAGATAGGGCTGGGCGATATATCGCATCACATTGTTATGCGCATCTCGTCAGTAAAGCCGGTTCCTTGATTAGTAGTAAATCGCCTTCACCTGCTTTCAGATGGAGCGGCATTTACTACGTATCGCCTGCCATATTAATGCGATATGGCTCAGCTTGTCAGTTAACTACGGCTCTTTGTAGTAAATGCCGCTCCATCTGAAAGCAGGTGAAGGCGATTTACTACTAATCAAGGAACCGGCTTTACTGACGAGATGCGCATAACAATGTGATGCGATATATCGCCCAGCCCTAAATCTTACATAGCCTGGATATATCAGATAAAGGAGCGCAAAGCGGTGGGATAAGGCCGGTGACACACTGGCTGCGTGGCGTGTCCGTTTTTATTTCGGCTTCCATGTTAACAGGTTAGAGCAGGGATGGGCAACTGGCGGTCCGCGGGCCGCACTGTCAATTTTCAAATACCATAGAAATGTTGGTTTCACGGGTTTCACCGCATGTGTACAAATTCCAAATGGTAATGACACAGTTTACCGCTAGAGGGCGCCTCCAATGCAAAACACGCTTAGTCGGATCTGCTTCACTACAGTCAACGATGAAGAGAGAGAACCATGAGCGGTAAAAAAAGAAAACTGGATCAAGAGAATCGTACTTTTCAGACGAGATGGGAAACAGATTATCTGTTTACAGAATTCAAAGGTAGACCTATGCGTTTAGTGTGTTTGGAAACAAGATCAGTATTTAAAGATTTCAACTTAAGTCGCCATTACAATACCACACACAGGGACAAATATGGAAAGTACACCGGAGCTGCTAGGGCCGCTGTTATAGCTGACCTGAAAAGAAAGCTCAATCAACAACAGAGTATTTTTTACCAGAATTACATCCACACAGGAGTCTGCCCTCAAGGCGTCTTACTCTGTGGCACTGGAGCTTGCTAAAGCCAAGAAGCCCTTGTCAGATGGTGAAATGGTGAAGAGGTGTGCAATGGAAATGGCCAAATCATTTGGAGACGAGGATATGGCTAAAAACTTTGAAACTGTCTCCTTGTCCTGTCGCACAGTGACACGCAGAATTTTTGACTTCCATAATCACATCGATGGCAAATTGAAACAAGTAATGCTCTACTGCAAATACTTCTCATTAGCGTTGGATGAGAGCACAGATGTGATGGATATTAGCCAGCTACTGATTTTCACTAGAACGATTGACAGTTCATTTGTTGTACACGAAGAACTTTTAAAATTGGTGTCGTTGCACAACACTACTAAAGGGACGGATATTTTCAACGCCGTTAACTGTGTTGTGAATGAGTATGGTGGCTTTGACAAGCTGTCAGCCGTCGTTACTGATGGCGCACCTGCGATGCAAGGAAAACACAATGGTTTCGCCGGGCTCCTCCAACAGAGTGGGGTGGACTGTCCTATACTGCACTGCATCATCCGTTGTTTTATCTTCAGCTCAGATTTTAGCGCTGAATCTAATCTTTATTTTAATTCTACAGGAGGCTCTCTGTGCCAAGACGCTCAACTTCAATCACGTTATGGATTTGGTGACTAAAGTTACAAATCTCATCCGAGGAGGGAATAGGTCTCTCAGTCACAGGAGGTTTGTAGCTTTTTTGGATGAAGTGAGCGCGGCGTATGGGGATTTACAAATGCACACCGAGATTAGATGGATGAGCCGAGGAAAGTGTCTGGAGCGTTTTTTTGCGTTGCGCACCAAAATTCCTGTGTTTTTGGAGGACAGTGTTCGAGGCGATACAAGTGCGTACACCCGAAAACTCAGAGACACAGAGTTTCTTTGCGATATGGCCTTCCTTACGGACGTCACCTCACCCCTCAATCCCCTGAACACTAGGGCTGTCAATCTTCCTCTATAATACTATTCGAATTCCATTCCTTATTTTATTTAATATTCGAATAATATTCGAATATTAAATGCTCAAATTCATCCTATTATTAATATTTACGACATTACTCAGGCTTATGGATCGCCAATGCCACTATAGCATGTGGTTGTTGTTACACGTTCTGTCCACTAGAGGGATATCTAACATTACAATAAACATTTTATTCGTGCTGAATATGGTTGAAGCGCTACCGATGGTTTTCGGCTAATATCTCCGCTAAAAAACCCCCAAAAATTCTGAAACTTATATCGTTCTTTTCAGTTCGACTAGACGGTTCCAACGAGTTTGGTGCTCGCCGAATCCGTTGAGTTTTCACCAAGATATTTACGCTTCACGGGCGCTTTTTTACGTTGTTAAACATGTACCATTTTTGACAGTATTGTTATGATGATACAGCGTGGATAACGTGCACAATTGTGTTACGATTCAAAAACGTTATTGTTCATCAGACGAAACAAAAAGCATTTAATTTTCACATGTGTGTAAGTCAAGGTGGCGAGAAAGGCAAGATTCCATATAAAAAAAATTAATGAATGGGAATAGGAGCAGGCTTCACTCAATGATTAAACTTAAACTTTAAGAATGCTGGCCTGATGATTAGAATATATAACGTTAAACAGGAAAGAGGCCGCACTATGCACAAATTGTTTTATTTGCACAAACGCGTTTCGGCGCGTGCCTTCTTGAAACGCGTTTGTGCAAATAAAACAATTTATGCATAGTGCGGCCTCTTTCCTGTTTATATATATAAAAAAATTAAAATATACATAAAAAAAACAATATTCGAATAGTAACTTCAGCATTCGAATAGTATTGATTTTTTTAATATTCGAATTATATTCGAATTTCGAAATTCGTTCCAACAGCCCTACTGAACACACAGTTACAGGGGCGAGGCCAAACTATATCCGACCTTTACGCACACATGAATGCATTTCGGCGTAAATTAGAGCTTTTCAAAGAAGGATTTTCATCCAATCGTCAAAATTTGGTACACTTTCCCGCTTGTGAAGAGATGCGGAGAGATGTCCCTGAATGCGATAACATTTTTCACAAATACAGAGCCGACATCGAAACACTGCAGCAGCAGTTTAAGCTCCGGTTCCATGATTTCCACACCATGCAGGCACGAATAGCATTATTCACTGACCCCCTCTCTGCTGCTGTCAGCGAGCAACCCTCCGAGTTGCAGCTTGAACTCTGCGAAATTCAGTCAGACCCGTTTTTTCAAGCAAAGCGCAGTGAGAGGGGAGTTTCATTTTGGAGCTTACTACCAGAGTCCCGCTTTCCACTTTACTGCTTCATACAGCATCTGTTTGAACAAGAATAAAGTTCGAAATAAGCCTATCAATGAAGTGGAGTGAACGTTTTTTAATCGGTTTTATTTTTATAAACATGACACAATATATCATCGCGACTACATGAAAAGACTGTTTACTGTTATAAAAAACTGATTAGTGAGCTTTAGTGGAACTAAAGGTGTGAGAATAAACATGAAACGCACGTGATCGTTGTCATGCGGTGAATCCGGCGAATCGTGGAACAGCTGTGACGTCATCAGAGCTTGTGCAGCTGCTCTTGAGAAGCTGCGCTGCATGGCTGAGTCCTCCGGCTACTCTCGAAACGCTCTCGCGGTACTTTGATGGCATACGTCACAGCCATGTGGCGTCGGCGCTGCATCAAGTCGGACAAAATTTCTAACCGGCATGCACTGTTTCAAGTCAGCCGCCGATCGGTCTGCGCAGAGCTGCATGAAGTCGAACACACCTACAGGAAACGCGACGCAGCCGCCACGCAGCTGACTAGGGCTGCAGCTATCGATTCTTTTTGTAATCGATTAATCGAGCACTTAATCGATCGATTAATCGGATAAAACATTTTTTGTTTTTAAACAACCAAAACAAATAATGTATAACGAAAATGATGTGGCTGTAAAATGATCAAGCATTTGGCTTTTATTTATCAAAAAAAAAAAACTGGTATTTATTCCAACTCCAACATTTAGCTCTAAAACTAAGCCAATTTATTGCAATTTTTACCCATTTAGAATAAGTGCCAACAATGTTCTATGCTCAATTTCTTTGGTAGCCAATTAAAATGTCTTCCCCAAAAGTACGAGTGGATTTGGAGAAGCAGGCTGGGGAATTTCATTTTTTGTTGTTGTCTGTAACTATTTGGAAGACGTGACATACAAACAAGGTCTCGCAAAGACTGCAATACAATATTTGTTCCTCCATCACGTCTCGGTGTATAAGTGAATGCATGCTGAAATTATTGTTGCATGGCTACATAAAAGTTTAAGTATGTGATGCATTGCCGCAATTGATCTGACTGGCGCGTGAGAGAGACGAGGGTGCATGCGTGCGTGTGATGGGGTTCTTCTTTTTTAGGCTATACTCTCTTGCAATTGAACGTGAATACGTCTACTACTTAAAAACATCAAAGCTAAACATCATATCTAGTCAAACCGCATCACGACATTGCTACAAATACAGTATGGGATTAAAATCAGCGAACATCAATGTATCATAGTCTTATGGCTTCACACTGAACGCGAGTAGATTACATACAAAGTCAATGCAAAGACGCGAATAGACGCATCATTCGCGCCGGGCGTCGCGACTGACGCGAATTGGGCTACGCTTGCTGCAAACGTGTTCCGCGCAAGTTGAAAAATTTGAACTCGAGCGAATGTTTAAGCGTCTAACTAGACGCGATAAACGCGTATTTTTGTTCGGTGTGAACACCATTAGTTTACCTTGTTTCAGCGACGCTTGGTGAAACAGCATGGAGTGGATGTTTTCGGTTCAGATGCTGAATCATTGAAGTCGTACTGTTGTGGTATGCCAGGTCTTCTTTGCAGTAGACACATTGCACCTTGTTCTTTTCCTTTTTAAGTATGTAATGATCCTAAACTTTAGACATTCTCTGCCGTTTATGGACATCTTTACTCTCCGCCATCGCGCCAACTAAATTCAAAATGTATCACGCGCTATAGTATAGATCCGCATGTATAGTGCGCGTCATAGGAATTTAACGAGGCTTCGAGGCAGAGTTTTTGCCTCGAGGAAGTTTTGTAATCGAGTTAATCGAGTAACTCAATGAATCGTTTCAGCCCTACAGCTGACACGCAACAGAAACGCCACGCTCACGCCACGCAGCCAGTGTGTCTCCGGCCTTAGTGCATTTCACCATGTCACGACTTGATGAACCACTGAAACTATTTTGAAAACATTATTTTAAGGTAAAAATTCTTACTTAGTGTTGCTTTAACAGTCTAATCAAATTTTATTAATTTGAATTCTTTTTTATTCTTGAATATTTTTTAACGATTGATGAGAATAGTGCAAAACAAGTTTGTTTTGTTTTTTTTCAAATCGATTTAGAAAAATAATTCAAATTAATGAAATATTTAGTCTTTAAAAAAAGACTATTTCAACAACTGGCATTTTGTCAGAACATCAAGTAGCCTAAATGACAAGTTATTTTGGTTAGTTGCCTATTCTGAATCGTGAGTTCTATTTTAAACAAAATATCATGATTCTCAATTTATCCAGAATCTTGCAGCTTTACAGAAACGGTGCCATTACTTTGACAATAAATGTATTGTAAATATTTGGATAGTTTGCACACTGTGACACTTGGACAACGCTTCTTCATATGATGCTACAGAGCTTGAATGTCTAAAACTCTCTCCACACTGAGTACAGTAGTGCAGTGCAGACAAACCTTTGTCACAATATGAGGGCTTGTACTCTGTAATCTGGTAACATCTCTCACCTGCAGACTGGAAATACACGGCTTCCGGATAAAATATTCCACATTTGTCCTTCAAACACGATAACGCCTCAACTGGTTAACGTTTCAGCTCGTCTCGTCTCGTCTCGTCTCCCTCTCTCGTTTTTTCTTCTGCGCATCCTCAGTGCGCAGTGTCATGTTTCTTAAAGGGGCCGACTGTAAACCCTTTCGCAGCAAGTTTAAAATATTCAAGCTGAGCCCCCAGCATGAGGTTTTTAAAGCGACCGTTGTTTTAGAATGCATCACCATAACATTTCCACAATAGTGCTGCTGTATGATAAATGTATTGTTTTAATTTCGTTTTTCCTTTTTTTATTTAAAATATTTGTTAACTTGTTATGATGCCTAATGATATATATATTTGATATAACATTTTTTCTCATGGTCCAGCAAAAGTCCAGCAGTTTTAAATAGCAAACTATTTCCACAAACACATATTAGCCTTGTTTTCAGTTTAACAATCACAGTTAAAAGGTTTTTGTCGAGACAAAATGTTTTTTCGGTTTATTTCTCACAATTGCATGTAGGCCTACTATCAGAACACAATATAGTAAAGTTAGTAAATAAGTAAAAGACATATATATATATATATATATATATATCTCATGTATTTCATGTACATATATCTAATTCAATTTAGACCTACTACACAATCGATCCAGGCAGATTTTTGCACAAAAAAAAAAAACATATTTACACTATAAGAGTTGTTGAAGCTTTAACTCTGAAGTCTTCCAAGTTTTCCAAGCATTTCTCAAAACAAAACAAAAAAACTAAATAAATCTCCATATTTTATCTTGCAGAATTTACCTGAAAGCATTTGACATGAAAACTAATGTTGATCATGTGCAAAATATTTTCATAGGAGGGTGAAGGCCTGGTAAAATATTCAAAACTCTTCTCAACTCAACTTCTCCTTATTTATTTATAGAGCACTTTCAACACCACAAGTGGAACCAAAGTGATGTACAGAAAAAAGATCACATTAAAAAAAATGTCATAAAAACACTGCAAACATACACTGTTTACAGTTTCAAATTCTAAAACAAATAAATAAGTTAAGTGCACTCTGAAATACACCCAATGTAGGAGAAGATTAAACAGACAGAAGGTCATTCCAGTACAGAAGCGTATTGCATTCACTTGAGGAAAAAAAATCTACTCTGATTTTCTGAATTAAAGAGTTAATCATCTCAGAATTACGAGATAATTTTATGGGAAAAAAGTTTTTGCTCTGTTTTTCTGAATTAACGAGTTAATTATCTCAGAATTACGAGATATTTTTTCATGAAAAAACTCTCGCAGCGCCTGAAAATAGGCCACCTTCCGTCAACACAACGGAACTATTTTCAGGCGCTGCGTCATATCATTACGCCTGCTGCTCTCATGGTACGGCAGTGACGTTTCTTGATTATTACGCAGGAATGAGAGTATAGTTCCTAGCCATATCAGCCTAGAAAATCGCAACTTTACATTTTCCGTCGGTCTTAGTGCACGATGTAACTACAGAAGAGTCAAGTTTTAAATAGGAAAAATATCGAAACTCTTTGGTCATTTTTTTTTTTAGAAATGCTAATGGTCTTGTCCACTCCAATGATGTATGCTAACCTATGCTAAAAGTGGTACCGCCAGAACCGGAGATCGGCTGAATGGATTCAAAAAACGGTAAAACTCAACAGTTTAACTCTGGGGGAGTTGTAAAATGAGCCTATTTCCAAAAAAAGTGGAGTATCTCTTTAACCTCGGCCAAACATTCATGCAGGGACTGAATGGCACATTTATACCCATGCTTCAGTGGTAAATTAATTTGAGAATCATCCATATAGAGATTACAGTGAACCCCAAATTTCTCACAAATAGAACATAGAGGGAGCATATAAAAAGACAAATAAAATTGGTCCCAAGATAGAACCCTGAGGAACCCCACACACACGAGGGTCAACAGTAGAAGAATAATCCCCTAAACTGACTGAAAAGGTAGAAGGGGCTTAATAACAGCATGCTTAAAAGTTGCTGGAACAACAACAGATGACAAACTAACATTCATAATGGACAAAATACTTGGACCAATGGAATCAAGTACCTCCTTAAACAGAAAAGAGGGAATCACATGAAGGAGTGAGTGATGGAATAGCAACAGGACCTCAAAAGAGGGGACAATTGCAGATAAAAATTCAGAGATCTTCTGTATAAAATCCCCATTAAAGTTTGGGGGTCTATAAATCAAAGCACAAAACTCAGTTTTAGAAGAGTTAAATGTAATTAACCTATTCAAATGTACAACAAGACTCGGAAGGTAAAAATCTACACTTAAACTTGTCTTTAAAAACAGGCCAACAGACCTAGGGGTACTGAAAAAACTGCAACAAGGAGAAGAAATTTCAGAGAGAGGAGTGATTTCGCCTACATTAAAGAGATACTCCACCCAAAAATGAAAATTCTGTCATCATTTACTCACCCTCAAGTTGTTGCAAACCTTTATGAGTTTCTTTCTTCTGCTGAACACAAAAGAAGATATTTTGAAGAACGTTTGGAACTTTGGCACCATTGACTTCCATTGTATTTTTTTTCTACTATGGAAGTTAATGGTGCCAAACAACTGTTTGGTTCCAATGGTTCTTCAAAATATCTTCCTTTGTGTTCAGCAGAAGAAAGAAACTCATACAGGTTTGCAACAACTTGAGGGTGAGTAAATTACAGAATTTTCATTTTTGGGTGGAGTATCCCTTTAAGCTAAGTCTCAGTGACGAATAAAAAATCTATTTTATGAGAAAGAAAGAGATCATTCAAAATAAAAGTCTTATTTACAAGAGATCTTACATTAATCAATACCATTGTCACTGGAATGGTGTCAGGAGAGTATTGAAAAGAGGAATCCTAAAAAGGGGAATTCTTACAATGAGTACAGCTACTCTCCAATATGAACTCGCTCATGTAGTTTCAGGTTTCCAGACTGAGTGAAACTCTTGTCACAAACGGAGCACTTGTAAGGTTTTTCTCCAGTATGAACTCGCTCATGTGATTTCAGGCTTCCAGACTGAGTGAAACTCTTGTCACAATATGAGCACTTGTAAGGTTTTTCTCCAGTATGAATTCTTTGGTGCTGTCTCAGATGGCCATCTGTAATAAAGCTCTTCCCACAGTCAAAACACACATGATCTCTCACTTCATTATGCGTTTTTTGGTGAACTTTAAAACTGTCCAGCCGTGAAAAACTCTTTCCACAGAGAGAACACAAGTGAGGCTTAACACCTGAATGCACAGTTAGGTGTTTTTTGAGATATGATGGTGAAATAAAATCTTTACCACACTGATCACAGTTAAATGGCTTTTCGCCAGAGTGAATGTGCAGATGATACTTGAAAGATTTTGGACATTTAAAACTCTTCTCACACTGAGTACATTGGTAAGGCTTCTCTCCAGAATGAACTCGTTGATGGTGTTTCAGTTCACTAGTTGTTATAAAGCTCTTCCCACACTCAAAGCACACATGATCTCTCACTTCATTATGTGTTTTCTGGTGCGTTTTATAATTGTCCAGTCGAGAAAAACTTTTTTTACAGAGAGAACACACATACGGCATCTCGTCTGAATGAACTTTGAGATGTGTTATTAGATGTGATGACGAAATAAAATCTTTACCACACTGATCACAGTTAAATGGTTTTTCTCCAGAGTGAATACGCAGATGAATTTTGAGTATGGATGAAGATGTGAAACTCTTTCCACACTGAGTGCATGGATACGGTTTTTCTCCAGTGTGAATTCTCATGTGCACATTAAGGTTTTGTTCATTTTGCAAACTCTTTCCACACTGAGAGCAGATGTGCAGCTTTTTGGCTTTTGTTCCTTGAGTTTTGAAGTCACAGTGTTTCTTTACTTCATTCAGTTCTTCTCTTTGCTCCATTATTTCCATCTGATCTAAAATAAACATTAAGTAGTTATAATCAGTTTAAGCAGGATAAATTCAAGGAAACTTCAAGTGAACACAGCAGAAAACAAGTGAGTAGGTTTCTGTCTGTGTAAGTATAAAGTATCAGATCTTTGATCATTTTCCAATTAAAAGATGTCTGATAGCTGTCCAAATACTGCACTGATGTCTAGGCTAAAACAAGGCAAAATCTGGGCTGTCAGTGAATATATAATAGATGTCTAACCATAGCTCAAGAATAGACTAGTCATCAATTAGATAACATGTCAGAGAAATAAAACCAAACACCTTGTTATCACTGTTGACTTTGCTTATATTATGGAATATCATATATCTCTTAAGTTATTATTGTCAAAAATGACGTCTAACTAAATTCAAGATTATTTTGGCTAGAAGTGGGTTACTCATAGCCGGACTATATCGGGGCTATAGTTAACCTTGACAACTGCTATATACAAGGTTATGATGATTTAGATTAATCAATTTCTACATCATTTATCATCCATATGCTACTTATTCCACAGCTATCAAAGCAATCAACAATGAAGAATCAGGAATGGACACCAACCTATTTGTTCCTCAGTATCTTCATGTTTTATTCTGGATGGTTCTGGAACACTCATGTCTTCAATCTCCTCTTTAATAAACTCCATCTTGAACAGTCACGCAGATTTCAGCGGCTCTTGTAGGATGATGCGATTATTCCCAGTATTTATTGGTGAATTGTTGTGGGAGGGGCTTCACTGTAGGTGCGAACTGTGATCACTGTGTGATACTGACGCCCACAGGACCAGATCTAAAAAAAAAACTAAAAAAAAAGATTTTAAAAAGAATTTATACTGGATTACTTTAACAGAAAACGCATATGGTGCCTTTTTCCCGCCCCAGCACAGCGAGCTGCCTCCCGAACTAATTCAGCCCCTAGCCGCCAGTAAGGAGCAACATAGCACATGTCCTCCGCACCGAAAGTAGTGAGCTTGCTGGAGAAAGGAGTTGTAAAGTTCCTCTTCCACACAGCAAATCAGGCTTATACAGCCGCTGCTTCCTCGTTTCCAAAAAGCACGGCGGCCTCAGGCCCATCCTGGATCCTGGACATCTGAATCGCGCCTTCATGAGGCGGCCATTCAAGATGCTAACGTTTAAACAAATCCTCTCACAAGTACACCCAGGGGATTGTTTTTTCTCAATGGATCTGAAAGATGCAGGTCTAACCCTAACCCTATAACGACCTAACAGATTGTTTTTGAGATTCGCGTTTGAATGGGTGGTCTACCAGTATATGGTCCTACCATTCAGACTTTCCCTGGCACCACGCACTTTTATGAAGTGCAAGGATGCAGCACTTTCTCCCGAGACAGAAAGGGATGCACATCCTGAATTACTTAAACTACTGGCTCATTTTGGCCCAGTCAAGAGGCAGAGTTGATTTCTCACAGATCGATGCTCCTCAGCCATCTAAAATGGACTCAATCAACTAGGACTAAACTGACATAGAACCAAGAGCTCACTGTCTCCCAGCCAGAGAATCTCTTTCCTGGGGGCGGTTCTCGACTATTGCTATCACCCGAGTGTGCTCACACTATCCATTGTCTCGCAATATCTTTTCCCCTCTCAGAAATATTCAGACGATGCTAGGGATAATGGCCTCTGCATTGTCAGTACTTCCTCTGGGCTTGCTGCACATGCGCCCCATGCAGTACTGACTGAAACCCCTGGTCCCAGCTCACGCCTGTCGATAAGATCGTCATCGTGTCAAGGTGAACCACGGCTGCATCGGAGCCCTGGCCCCTTAGAAGGACCCCAGCCATGACCGGTAAAGAATCTTGTGCAGTGAGAGATGTCTTCGGAGGCGAAGAGGTCGACCTCTCTGTAGTAGCATATGTAGTAACCACCTTCCTCCTCGAGACCAACCCCATGTTTACTACAGATGCTACTACAGAGAGGTGGACCTCTTCGCCTCCAAAGACAACTCACCACGCAATATTCTTTACAAAGAAAATGGCTGCGCTGGCCCAAAAAAATGGCAGAGCCTTCCCCTTTACAGCTTTCCCACAGTCGCACTACTCCCTCAGGTCATCAAGGGGATCAGGGTGGATATACACACCACCCTTCTTATGGCCCCTCTCTGGAGGACCCAACCTTGGACCCCCTCCACGCTCCAAGTCTATGTGGTGGCCATAGCAGCATACCAAGCTCCTGTGGTTGGCCAATCGCTGGGTAGAAGCAACCTGGTTGTTCGCTCCTTGAAAAGGGCGAGGAGGCTCAACCCACCTCGTTCTTTTACCATACCCTCTTGAGACCTATCGACAGTCCTTAGAGCCCTCAAGGGGCCTCACTCCTGTAAGCATCGTTCAAGTGAGTGGGCGATTTACAAGGTTGTCCTCAAGGCATGGCAAGGCGCCCAAAGTGCTCTCTACTCTGCTCAAAGCACTAGGTATTTTGCTGTTGGCTATTCCACGAGCATCAATTACACTTACTCTATATAGAGCACCCTGCCCAGTTTAGGCAGTCAGAGCAGCTCTTCATATGCATCGGTGGCCGCACCAAAGGGCTTCCAGTCACGAAGCAGAGACTATCCCGCTGGATAGTGGACGCCATCGCATTGGCTTACGCTTCGATAGGCCTTGAATGCCTCATCGGCATCAGAACACACTCCACCAGAGGCATTGCCTCTTCCTGGGCGTGGTCCATTGGTGTATGTATTGGCGACATTTGTGTGGCGGCCGGCTGGTCCTCGCCGTCCACCTTTGCCAGATTTTACAACTAGGAAGTCGAATCCTCTCTGTCTAGCTGGAGTTAACCTCCGAGTGAGCTTAACCCACTATAACCTCTCTGGAGGCTCCGAACACAGTCTGAGCCATCTTTCTGGTCGCCCTTTATTGCCTTCAAGGGCCTTATCCAAGCTCCTTAGGCTAGGGCCCAAGAACATGTGCGCTCGGTTCAGGATGCGCCCTGATTGGTTCGTGCAGATATGCAGCATCACCATTGGTTCGTGCAATTCTCAGCACTGAGTTAAAAAAAATAAGATATAGGGCCTACATTTGGACACAGAGAGATTTATCCTGAAAGGAACTTTTCCTGCTCTTTAAGATAAAATCGTATCATCAGGCTGGCTATCTGACACTGCTCCCCCATGATAAAGCCATACTGCACCTCCAACCCCCCACATGCTCTCTGAGGAGCGTCTGAGACAAAGAGTTGATATTAAAGTTGATTATTAAAGTGCTGATAATGAAGGGATTAACTCATTTAGGCTACATGTAGTAATATTGCTGTCATAAAAGTTTATCAACTAAATATTTAATTACTTCAATGATTGAAGAATTGGTTTAGGCCATCTATTTCCAAGCAAAACGAAATACAAACAAACTCATGTTCATTTGTTGTCATGTACTAAATGTTCAACGCAGTATTAAATTCCACAGATTTTTCTGGATCGTAACAACCAGGGTGCGATTTATGGATAAAGCAGAGGGGGAGTATTTTTTATTCAAATAGGCCTATATCTCGAACCACAGTGTTGGCCTGTTCGTGCTTATGTTAAACTAAATAGCATTTATAGAATAATTATGAACTTAAATTAAACAATATTGCAATATTTCGACAATTATGTTTGAAATTATTTGATCTGTTTACTACATTTTAATTCAGGGCGATTTCACTACATTTAATTAGAGCAATATTTTCACTCTTGTCCTTTCCTCATTGCGAAGCACTCATACACATGTTTGAGTAGATCCTCTGTGCCTCTCGTTGTTTTCATGTGGATTACATAATCAGATCATATTTATTCACATTTAAAGCTTTAGACATTTTTTTGATGCGCAGTTCCCAGAGACAGAGACGACAGAAAACATTTTGTAGTTACCCTATTGTGAGTGTAGCCTACTGTAGGCCTACATGTAACATGAATAAAAGTAGACCTTTCACAGTTTTAAAAGATGATCTCTTATCTGTATGACCAAAAATTACGGAGTAGGCTATAGCCTATTAAGTTCTTTTAGCTGTTATGACAAAAATAAAATTCAAGTAAACGCGCCGCTGCGTTTGTTGAACTTTGCCAGATTAAAACCCGTTTTTAGAATAATGTGTAGCGCCACTCGGCGCGGTGTGCCAAAATACTTAATTATAAACTTCAATATTTCGTTCAAAACCATCTCAAAACGGTTTGTGACATTTTGAAAAGCCGTGAATGTATTAAGGCCACTGGAACCAGGATCGAGCGCTGGTTCAGATTTTATTGTTTGTTGTTTAAACGTGCGTGTTGCATATTTTATTCAAATATATTTTATATGGTCTATTGGTGAATTGATTACTGTGGAGGGGGGAAATCCCCCACTGGCAAATCGCACCTTGCTTACAAACATGTTTTAAAACACTATTTCTCTATATGGAACCCCATGAAGTTTTATTTTCTTTTTCTTTTTTTTAACAGAACTGCTTTTTTTTTTGCAATTGGAATTATTATACAGATGTAAATTCAGTCATTCTGTTGGATAAGATTTGTTCTTTATTGTAAAATGGAAATGCATGGTGATTTTAATAACAATATGGTGTAACAGTTTTAGAACTAGACAAATCTCTGCATTAATAATAATTTAAAAAAATTATAGTAGACCATATTTATTCAGGATTTGAACCCATGTCATCTAAATTATTGAAACCTAAGTTCTACCACTCATCCACAAATTTTCTCACAGAGAAATGCCCAGAAGTTCGGTTGTACAGCAGTCGGTGTGTGTGCGGACGAAAGAAATGCTCTTCAATCGTCTCATTCCTCAATACAATAGTAAAAATAATTAGCGTCATTGCACCTTATTTATTTTCACTGACTGCGAGATAGGCCTATTTTAACTTTTGATTCACAAAATGTTCTGCCCTAAAAGTTTGTTATATTCTGTTTATTACGTTACGTGATTACGTTTTGCTTTCGTTAAATTTGACCAAATCTGTTGCAACATATAGGCCTATGCTATTTAAAAAAAAGTTGTATTATTTGTTTTGTTCTAAAAGTTTGTTCAATTCTGTTTCGTTTGTTTATTTATTTATTTTTTACATATTCAATCAGTCTCATTCTTGTTGAAATAATGATTTTTTTTTACAAGACCTTGTGCTGTGTTTTTTAATAAACAGATAGCCTGCAAACAGAGATATATAATAGTTCAATGTTCGTACAAATAAAAGTCTATATGTATACTATAAATTCTTTATGATCGTTGTTTAAATAACATTAACCAAATTTCATTTAATAATAAAATTATTACTTTATGACATGCAGTTTCAACTCCACCAAATCTTTGTTTGTTACATTATTGTACAGCAAATGTCAATAGCTCTTGTTTAGATTGTTCATATTTGTTGTTGGCTTATTTGGAAATTACCATAGTTGTAGTATTTCATCCTTATTGTTAATTGACATTAGCCTCACTTTTCAAAATGCGGCAATTGCCGCTGTTTTGCTAAATGTCGCTTTGCGCCACCTGGCGACTGGTTTATTTTTGCCACAGTGGATTTCCGGCGGCGGCAAGCGCGGCGTAATTAGGCATTCTGGTTGACTACCTATTGTATGACACTCTAGCTGTTAATAAACAAAACTGCATGCGTCTTGCTGAAGAACATTGTAGCCGGAGCTACTTCTCTCGGTTTATGCTTTTTTTCCA